TTATTGTCCTCAAAATAATATTTTTATATGTTTTCTATATTTCGACTAATGTGTGTAATTTATTAAATATCAATAATAATAAAAAATATAGCAAATGTATAAATAAAAATTGGAAGCTACATAAACTTTTTATTTTGGCGTCATTTTAATTGTTTTGACGAAAACTTTCTAATCATATATTTTGTTATAAAAATATTTATTTTATTATAATTTAGTAAATTACATAAATTAATCAAAATATATAAAATATATAGACAACTTATTAAGGGTAAATTGGTTATTATTTGCTCTGTCATATTCAATTTTGTTTTACCAAACGCTGAACAATTGTTCTGTCATGTTCTATTATGTTTTGTCTTATCTATCAAATCATGTCTAAATATCAAATGCACTCTTAAAAGCGTTGGTACAAATTTGAACTCAACCCAACCCGAAGAACACAATATCATTTTATATCTTGGATTTAATATGATTATTGAATTTCTATAAATATATACATTAGACAATTAACTATCACGTACGCTCTTCATATACAAATATTTTCAATCTATTCACATCTCTATATAGTTCATTCGTATATATATTCAGTAACTATGAACATATATATGTAAATTGAGAAATGTAATACACGTAAGAAGTATGGATAAGTTGTATGAAATGGTTGATGATGAAAAAGAAATTATGAGTAGAGAAATAACATATTCAAGGTTAGAAGAATATTTTAATGTATCAAAGTATCAACTCGACCAACCCGTACGGTTTGGGCTGGGTTCGGTTGCACTTTGGTTTGGTTTGGGTTGGGTTGAGTTAAGATTTTTCAAACCGCAAGCATTGGGTTGAGTTGTTCAAATGTCTTCAATCCGATCAACCCAACCCATGAACACCCCTACCATGAAAAAGAATTTCTAAAATAAAATGATATATTTCATAAAAAGAGTTCTTGCAGAGTTTATAAAACAAATATTAAAAAAAAATAACTATTTTTTTATTACAAACATTTTGGTTTAAAAGTCAGATAGATGATTCATTAGAAAACAGAAAATACCAGAAAGGTATAACGAAATTACATTAATACTAGAAATTGGTAATACTTTGCGACCCAATACAAGTTGGGCTCGTATACATCTGATTCCTTCTATATCGATATTGACTTGACACACCACTGAATCAGAACACTTTCAACTTGATCAATGATTGCAACTATTTATCGTACAAATAGAATCGTTTATTTGATTTAACACCATAAAAATTCTCATGACACATTATTTAGCAAAGATTGCAAAAGATGATCGAACACTACATGTATAAAGATGTATACAGATACTTTCTCTACTCAAGAGATCGAAAGAGCGTTCCGTGAAGACACTGGCTTGCGAAGAACTTTTGTAGATACTCAACGTGTACATAATCGAACACAAGTTAATCTCTTATCATAGGCATTGTTTTGCTAAGTTCAAATTTTTTGTGCCTTGACTCGATGAAATCTGTAGCTTTCGCATCAATGTCTTCTTCGTTCTGCTGGAACCTCGATTGGGGCTTACCGTCATAGTAGTTCGCAACTGTAACGTATGCTTGAGGCTGGTATGAGAGTTTATTGAAGTCACTACTAGTAAAGTAGATGTCGGAATGAGAAGATGTGTCGAGTAACTTGTGCCTTATTTCTCTGAGTTTCTTCTTCAAGGATTCGCGATAGTGGTGACGATGGGCGGTCGACCCATGCGTATCGGACATCAGTGGTATTCAGTTGCAAATGGTTGATTGAAGGGTTGGATGAAGTTATGTTGAATCTGAAACACATATTTATATACGAGTTTTTGAAGGTTTGTGTTGAACAAATGGAAAGGAGACACGAATAATGGTATCTTATTCCTATCTTTTCTCACTCTTCAAATGGGTTTTCTCTAAGCATATGAGTTTGTCGAAAACAATGTCGAGAATACACCAAAATTCAAAACACAAGGACCGTAGATGACAAAAATGAAAATGCATGGGTCATATGTAATTTCTATAATAGTACAAACTAAAAGGAGTAAAGGCCTAATATTCCTAAATGTTTACTCGAGTAAGCGCTTACCAAGTTACATTACTTTGCCGGATGAATATGGGATGATCAAGAATCTTACCTGGTAAAAACGAGAGAAAGACTGAGAGTTTTACCCGGTAAGTGAGGGCAATGACTCTTACCATGGTCAGCGCTTACCGAGTAAATTGTTGCATACGAAGCCGTTTTTGTTGACTAAAATCTTTTTCGTTAAGTAAATAATAGTGTTGAATTTTCCCAACAGGTGTTTACCGGATAAGTGTTTAGTAAACGACCCCTTACATAATTCAGAAATTCTTAAAGACAACATCCATTCGTTTTTGCTTTAAAAAAGAACTGATTTTTGAACTTTATTAAACACCGAGCGATATAAGAATCCTTCCAATGCATGAACGTGTTCAAGTGCAATCTTTTCTATTTTTATTCCAACAGATATCTTTTTTATGTTCTTTATATTTGATACTTAGTCAGATGACGATTGTTGTTCAAATTATGTTTGATTTTAAAAAAATTAGGGAAAATTCATATGCGAATCATAAATATCTTGAGAGTGTCGGAAACAAGTATTGCATGTACTATTCATAATAAATAACCTTCGATAATCATGAATTTTATTCATCAGGGATATCATGTATTTTAACTATTAATGATATCTTGCATTTTCATCATGAATATCATGTATTTTTGTTAATAATTATCATCATCAATATCTATCGCAACATTTATCATGACAAGTTGATTAACAGATTTTCAAAATATTTATGGTTCTAATTTTTTTTTTCAAAGGCCAACACAGTATTATTAAAGAAACAAAAAAACCGAACAAAAGATTCTGCAAGCTGTAGAACCAATCCGAAAGAAAACAAAACCAACCGAGTTCAAAAAAAGGAATTAAAGCACATCTCGAAACCAGGAACATCTAAAACCAAAAACAAGAAGAAAACCTTCGTGTTTCTAGCCTGATTAAGAATTACATGTTCGGGAAATGGAAAGCTGGATTTGTGATCCATAGTTCCCATGAAATAGATCCTTTTTGGATTCCTCTTGGGATCTACTCGAAGATTTGCGAGTTTGAATTCCAACAAATAGTACTTCAGCGAATATGGATTTTTCCTATAAATTAACGTTGTTGCAATGATCCCACGACATATAGTTAGTGGCTCAAATAGATGCTTGTCAAATTCGTGATAGCCATTGCGGGAACGGTTCTTCTCCATGAAGGCGATGGAGTTATGGCGTCGAGCTTCTCGGACCAATATTGCTTCCCCGCCAAATCAAAAACAAATCCCGTGGTTCTAATTTGACCACGGCCGATAATTATAAAAAATAAAAACATTCCCTGATTTTTTTTAAAGTGAAAATAAACGAAATGTAACCAAAACTGAAACAAAGTAAATTATATCCAAAAAATATCACTTTATTATTTCTAGAGTAAACTACAAATTTGGTCCTTGTAGTTTGTCAAAAATAACATTTCCTGTCCTTATAGTTTTAAATTCCAAGATGACCAATGTGGTTTACGAAAACATCCGGATTTGGTCTCTTCCTCTAACGGTCGTTAAAAATTCCATTAAAAACGAGATATTTTCTTCGTTTTGTCAATTTTTTTTCTTTTGCTCAATAAAAAAACCACATGATAGAATCGTTTTTTATTCGGTGAAAAACAAAAAAAAAAATCAATAAAATGATGAAAGTTGTCATTCATTTAACGGGTCGTTAGAAGAAGGGATCAAATCCGAATATTTTCACAAACCACAACAGTCATATTGTAATTTGAAACTACAAACATGAATGTGTTATTTTTGACATACCATAACAACCTGAGTTTGTAGTTTACTCTTATTTCTAAGAGTAAATTACAGTTTTAGTCCATGTGGTTTGTTTGAAATTGCAGATTTCATCCTTGTGGTTTCGAGATCATGGTTTTCATCTCTATGGTTTATAATCCATTTTTATTTTCGTCTCTGAGGCTAACTACTATTTTTTTAGTATGAAGGACTGAAACAGAAATGAATTATAAACCGAATGAGCAAAAGAAGTAAGAAAGTTTAAATCATAAGGATGAAAAAGTAATAAGTTATAAACTATAGGGATGAAAATAATAATTTTAAACAACAGGGACTAAAAACGTAATTTAGTTGTTTGGTTTTTTGTCATTGAAATTCTCCCACGAAAAGGAGGTTGCCTCCATTTTGATTTTTCGAAAGTTAAAAGCTTTTGAAAGACGGTTAAAGGTTTTGATAGTGATTCTAGAACTACGGTAGATTCCGTCGATCTGCATCGCCGGCGACGATGACCATCGTACTTTTCGCCTCCTCCGGAATCCGGATCCAATTGAATCCACGTCTGTATATGTGATCTCCTCCGACCTTATATGCGTCCGTGCGCCTGTATTACATCATTGCGTTTCTTCAAATGGTTTAAATCGACGAGATATTATAGTAGGTATTCATTTCTGTTTGATTTATGGTTGATTGATTATATGTGACACTGCAGTTTGATTTTAATCATAGTTCTTACTCTCTTCTGACCAGAAAACAATTTTGACTTCGGAGATCAAGTAAATGATGGCGGTGTTTCTCGCTTTGAGTTCTATTAATTAACTGGAAACGCGAATCACCGAGTTTCTTTTTTAATCGAGTTGATGAGTTGTGAAGTTAGCTTGAATTGCAAATATGATTGCATTTGTGAATTGAGAGGCATATTTGTCAATTGAGAACAATCAAGTGATTGTTGCAGACTTGCAGTTCATATGATTATGAATGTGATTATTTAAAACTTTTGTGCTTAATCTTTATATATTTGCTATGAATGATTAGGTTATTGTGAGAAGCTTGTAAAACAATGAAACATAACTAGATTAGGAAGGAAAATAAAGCACTGATTTGAGCATTTCTTCGAACCATTTGAATGTTTGATATCATCCACTAGATCATTGGTTGTGTTGGAGAGAGAGATTGCACTTTTGAACTAAAATAGTTGCAACACTAATTGTATTTTCATAAAATTACATAAAGAAAGCAGTAATTGACATCCATTATTCACTGCTTATGCATATGTAGGTAGTAGATAGAAAACACACATTATTTAGAGGGGTAACTTGAGCTACTGCCAAGCATACACTTCTTTGTGATAATATTGTAGTTTGCTTCTTAGATTTTCATTCCTCATCATCTAGCCCCTTCAGAATCCAAGATGGCTTCTGGTAACCATGATTCATGCCACTCTGACTGTAACCATAGTTTGGGATACCACTTCCATASCCGTTATGCCCRTGTGTCGGCTTGTCAAAATGGTTCGTAGCACCACCTCCATAGCCGTTATGMCCGTGTGTTGGCTTGTCAAAATGGTTTGCACCACTTCCATAGCCATGTTGGCTCCCATGGCCCTGACCATGTGGGCTTCCATGGCTATGACCGTGTGGGCTCCCATGTCCATGACCGTGTGGGTTCCCATGGCCATGACCGTGTGGGCTCCCATGCGAATTGTCATAGTAAGAACTTCCATATCCACCGGTGGTGGGCCTTGCACCACTCCCAGGGTAGGCTCCATTGCCATAGTAGTCATCACCGCTGGGCCGACCAAATTGGTTTTGGGGAGCATGGGGTGATGGGTAATTTGACACTTGAGGGTAAGTGGAGTATGGGGGTGAGTTCTCTGTGGTTATGCCTTGAAAACTGCTGTAGTTGCCATTAGGCCCTTGGTATGCATTATAGCTTTGCTGCTGGTAGCCACCAGGGTAACGTTCAGTTTGGAGAACCATTTTTTCGAAATAGAAATGCCTTCAAACTTAAATCTGTGTTGCTGATGGTTTCGTTATACACTTAACGCTATTTATAGGGTTAGCCGGTGATTCCAGATAAGTCGAAAGATGCACCGCGACCCCACATTCAACGGTGAGCATCAAATGAAGGGTCATATTTGCAACTTTATTCCCAACTTGTAAGATGCCTATGGATTCTTTTAGAGTGCTGATGATTTTGGATACCCAAATAAAGTCATTCATGAATTCACATATTTAGAACAATCTATTCTCATCTTGCCCACTTACTGTATAGAAGAACCTGCCAAAATTACTTATCCTTATGTCATTCTGCAATATGATATGCATATGTTCTCATTCCCTTATCGTCCTTTTCTTCATTAATAATTTCATCTTGTCTTCTTGCATTGTTCCTATTCTTTTCTTTCCCTCCACTTGTTTTCTTGTATTTTGGTAATTTCGGAAGTCAAAGTTTTTATGTCACATCATATGCGAAAAAATACAAGTACCTTTTAATGATTTCATTTATCACTAAACAAGATTCGATAGCTGGAAACATGTTTTTTTTTTTTTTTTTTTTAAAGGGTGTCCGGGCCAACGCCCGACTAATCCCCTGCAATTTTGGAGGCTAAACATGGCCCCACTTAAATGTCGCCAACACTCCCCTCCTAGGGCTCGAACTTGAGTTCATGACTATGCCATGCCTAAGCCTTTACCACTAGGCTGGAAGGTCTTTGACAGCTGGAAACATGTTTATGTTAGTCTTATTCACGAATCTTCATGTTAATCAAAGCTCGAAAATCTTGATGATTGTGTGTTGATATTGATTCATGATCATATTTCAGAGGACGGTGTCGTGCATATATTCGCTTCAATTTTGCTGATCGAAACCATTCATCTTTGTTGTCATGCTTTAAGTTGATGATGGTTAACATCATTTAATCAACAATTGTTTGCTGAAAAGGTTGACTGCTGTTTAATCTGCAGGAACAACCTGAAGTGCTTTATCTTGATCCCTGCATATCCCCCTTGGGCCTTGACTAAGGTGAGTGAGCGTCCTCATCTTTCATCTTGTGCTTCTAAGTACAAAGTAGGGTTCATGTCTCTTAGCTTAGCTCGAAGCCATTTGCGCTAAATCACACCGTACAACATTATTGGTATTGGTCGAGTAGAATCCGTTGTGGATTTATTAGAATCTCACATCGCTAGACTTGAACCAATTCCTTCTCAATATATGTTAGAACATCTTTTCTTTTTGTTAGGGTAATCTAACGGGGTTTTATATCATATGGTATCAGAGCCAAATTCTATCACTGTAGAGACTCGACACTCCGAAGAATTTGTACCCATTTAGCCCCTTTAGACACTCTGGGACAATCAGTGTTTGTTTAACCTCCATTGGAGGGGACATGTTAGAGTGTCACGTCAGCTGGACTTGGACCATTTCTCTTCAAAATATGTTGAACCTTCTTAACTTTGCTCATGGCTCTTTGGAAGAGTAACCTAATGAGGTTTCACATAATCTAATGGGTTTTCCATATATCATCGAACGAGGTTTCACATAATCTAATGGGTTTTCCATATATCCTCGCATGGTATTATAGCTAAGTTATTTTACTCTAGGATCCTAAGCAATCTATATTATTTATCCCCTCATCTGTCTAGCCTCTCTCGACACTCTAGGACAATCGGTGTTTGTCCAGCCTCTATTGGAAAGGGTGTTACAGAGTCTTACACGACTAGACTTGGACCATTTTCCTCGAGTATGTTGAAACCTCTCTTCTTTCCTCGAGGCTCTTTTAAAAAATAATCTAACAAAGGTTTCACATATTCTCGCAATCATATCATCATGAAAACACCGATCGTCCTTATAGCATGTTTTCATGTTCACATCACTGCATCATTAATGACAAATTTGTTTGGTTTATCATATCCCGATATTGTACATGTCATGAAATCAGTGAAAGTAATTATAGTTTGTAACATAATCTTTAAGACGGAGCAAACATAATATTTTTTGTATTTCTTTTAGCTTTAACATATTAAAGGATAACTCCCAAAATATGTTATGAATGAGAAATAATATTTTACTATTTCCAACAATAATAATCTTTGAAATTAAATATTAGAAAATACTTTATTCAATGTTTTAATCTTTAAGATAGACTAGAAGATACTTGTGCAATACAACGAGATACATCTCGATTTTAATGTTTCGTTTTATTCTGTCCCCTGTTGATATTATAATACGATCTTATATGGTTTTGAGAAAAACGATAATGTTTTTATTTTTTAATAAAATAAAATTTTGAAAATGTCATAAAATTTTAAATAAAATATATCGATATTGGTATCAAATTAATTATTTAAAAGTTTTTATTTTATTGTGTAATTTATTTAATTCAATTTTTTATTATAGTTTAATAATGAGTAATTTATTTTCTATTTTAATAATATAATTTTTTGTAAAGATAATAATTAAGTATTTTGTTAGAACCATAATGATTATCTTAATTATATTTTAGATTTTTTATATTTAAAATAATATTTTATCATGCATTTGATTGTGTTTATCTGTAGTCACTTATACGAATTCAAATATAAAACTTTAATAAGTTGTATTTATGCATTATTTTCTTGTAATCTTGAATTTTAAGTAATATGCATCAATTAACAGTACTATTATAAATGAGACAACTTCCAAAATATGATAAATTATAAATGAGAAATAATATTTTACTATTCCCACAATAATAATCTTTAAAATTAAATATTAGAAAATAAAAAATATGTTTTACTATTCGCAACAATAATAATCTTTAACATTAAATATTATTTTATTCAATATTTTAATAATATAATTAATATTTTAATATCTAAAATGGATATACAAAAGTTTAAATGTAATATTTTTAGAGTTGTTGATTTTTAATTTTGTACATTAAAGAAATTTAAAAGAATCATTACATTTATTTAAGGGAATGATATCCATTTTTTTTTTAATATTAGTTTCTTTTTAGTTTGAAAATTTGAAATTCGGTGGGGGCATAGCTTTGAAAAAAATACAATCTTTTATCCTTAGTCTACAAATTAAAGGAAATATTACCCACTTTTTTAATTTAAATTGCAAAGTAGTTTTTTTTATTCTTTTTGTAAATTGGGGTTAATGTAATGTATATGAAGACTTGTATCCTAACATTTTTCTAAATAAATATTTATAATTTGTATAAAGAACCAATTTTCTTGGACTTGCTTCAATAAACTTACATCAGTAACAATGATGAAACGTTGGTATGTTTTTAGAATAGCAAGTTTGGTTTGCAAACTACGAGGGGGTTAGTGTGACGGATAAGAATAAGAGGATGATAAAATTAACTCGGGTTGAATCATGCCATCTACATATGCGTTTGTGGTCGCCGGAAGATTACCTTAGAACTGTGCGATGTTTATCTAGTTTGAGTTTGCATATGTAAGGTTGAACTACTAGGGCTTTTGTAATCTTAACTCGAGTCTCAAAGGTTAAAATACCATCTCAATTGGAGGAAAAAGAACAATTATTTACATTCATAAGAAAGCTAATAATAATTAAATATCTACGTTATCATTTAATATAACAAATTAATACGACTTTAATTCATATATATATATATATATATATATATATATATATATAGAGAGAGAGAGAGAGAGAGAGAGAGAGAGAGAGGGAGAGGGGGGGGACAAGATTCGTTAAAAACTTAAAATTGATTAGAAACTCGAGAACCATATGCAACATGACATGTAACATATCCATGATAAATGTGGGTGTGTAATGAATGTGTTCATGATGAATATTCATATTGAAGGAAGACATGCCTCCCCGCTATAACTAGTTTCGAGTTCCTAATTAAGTTTGGGTTTTTGAACGGACTTCCTCTTGAGAGAATAAAATCTAAGAATAATTATAAGAAATAATAATTGGATGGGATGAGATGAGATGGGGCTTGGGCCGGATCCATGGCCACCCAAGACACATGGGAAGTAAACAGAATAGGACCCACAGCTACAAAACTGTTAGCCAGCCAGCCAGCCAGCTGCCCCAATACAGCTCTTTTCTTCTCTTGTGATAACAACTTTTAACCCATTAAGTTTGTGTCATACATATTGAATTTGGTACAAGTTTTCTCTTAATCTAAGATTAATACAAGGGAAATCATCTTTTTTTTTTGAATTTTGAATTTTGAATTTTGAATTTTGAATTTTGAATTTTGAATTCATCTTTTAGTCATTTTTCTCCTAAAAATCACCTTCTTAATTTACAGAGAGGTCAAAGAAAAAGTTTCTGAACCAAGTCTACAAATGCAGAGACCAAATATATAAATTAGTCCCAACATAAACATTTTCGCAAGTGGCTGGCGGAGACCTTTATCTAATTTATAGATTTAGTCCCTGCACTTACGGACTTGGTTCAAACATTTTTTTACATTTCGACCCCTTCGAAAATTGAAGACGTGTCACATGTGGACCTAGTGATATTTTTGAATTTGAGGAGAAAAAAGGCTAAAAAATTGAATACAAAAACCTAAAAATGATTGTTTCTATTAATTTCCCTTGGTATAATCCATACCAAAAGTTAATGATATCTAACAAAATCATATATATTTCACTCAAAAACAAGTTGTATGCATTTGGTGTAGAGGACAGAATCGTTATTCCACCCCAAAGACCCAGGTAATTGTGACTGTGAAAGAGAATATGATTTGATATCTAATAATGAATTTGGCAGATGGCATGTACATTTCCATTATTCTCATGACCGTTGTAAAGGGTCGGTCCTACTTTTGCAAGAAATAAAGTTGGGCATTTAAAGTTTACATATCAGGAAACCTACTCTTCATTACCATTATCTCATCATAATAATGTTCTTTTAAAGAGTCTCAGGTTCAAGGGGCCGTTTACTGAAAGCTTATTGGATAAGCATTTACCGGGTGTTACTTATCTTATCAAATGAGCATTTACAAAAACCAAAAATCTCACCTTACGAGATAAAAGATGCTTACCAATAATCCATTTTGATATTACCCGATAAGACATGGGCTGGTAACCAAACTCAATTGTCTGTTTAGGCTGAGAATTATTTGGTTCCATAAATATCTTTATTGTTTACTAATCGAAGCATTAATCATAATGATGAATCCAGACCGTCTCCCATAAATATCTCTAAACAAACTCTTGTCATTTTCCATAAATATCTCAGTTATTTGGTTTGTATGAATTAATATGGTTTGTAAATGATGGAGACTCTTGTGGTATAGAATAGAATAGAATAGAACCATGTTTGCTGCCTAGAATTACACCACTTTTTACCATCTTATTTTGGCTTTTTTACCCCCATATTGTAACACCCCAGTCCAAAAAGTGAAACCCACAAAGCAAAATTAAAAAATGGTTTTTGTAGTCGAGTTTAGGTGGCCAAAAACCGATGCTACAAGCCAAATAATGGACAAAAGAACATGGGTGGTGTCAAATGGCAATTTCTTTTCTTTTCTTTTCTTTAAGAATACAACCAAGTAGCAGCTGTATTTAGTAATACCCAACCATAACATGACAACCTCAGAACAATAATAATCTCTCTTGCCAACAAATAAAAGAGGAATAAGAATCAGGTTCTTTATTCCAAGAATCATTCTGTCATATTGATGGTTTATTAATTAAGACTTATACGTGTCATCATAGCTGTAAACAGACACAGATTCTGATGATCATAAACAAGACATACCAACAATTAATCCTCTCTATCAACATGATGCATCATCATCATCATCATCAGGACAAACCCAGGTTACAAATCATATATGTAACACAATTTGAATAACAAATATATATATATATATATATATATATATATATATATATATATGTATCGATTCAAAATTTCCTAAAAATGACAGAGAAAATTACCTTTTCTTTTGAAGAATCTTGAATTGTTGTCCATGGAAGCTTTTGAGATTCTTGAATGTAGGAATAGGAGGAAGAAAACCCAAAGACTATTTACACTATCACCCCAGAAATCAAACGTTTCTGAAAGAATGATGCTAAGTCCCAATCAACTATTCTTTCGTTTCATCAAAACCCTTTATGGGTTTTCTATGCAAACTTCAAAGATCCAACCTTTACAGCCAAAACAAAACATCGCTTTTACTCACTCTCTCTCACGCAGTTTCCGGGTAAGAGAAATCTGTATTTGTCGGCATTCTCAAGAAGATGAGCAGGAAGATGAACAGCTGAATACGAATGAGGGATCGGACCCATTTTCCCGATGATTTCCTTGAATGTGTATTCTTCAGGCAGCATATCGAAGAGATCTGCTCCTCTACAGATTACTTTCTGAACTCTTTTTGGGCTCAAGAATTTGTTGAACCTCACTCTGTCGAAATGGCTATAAGCTTTCATCTTGAAAATGAACTCGCTAATGTGGCGAAAACAGAAGCTACAATGCCATCCTGCATCTGCCAAGACTACATCCGATTGGCGATAATGAGCGTATCTTGTTGTCCCAGATTGATATCTATGAATCGACGCCCTCCAACTATTGTTATCCAGAAAAAACTCGAATGAATACAAGTAGTTCTTGAGGCGAAGATGGAGGATCGAGGGTATGTCATCACACCATCTCAGTAGATTGATGGTGTGTCTACTTGGTATCTCATCAACATCCGACATGATCAGTAGATCATCGTCTTGAATTCCGGCTTTTCTGAGAAGATAATCCAATGCAAGTCTTTGATAAGCCTCTTCAACAAACGGGTTTTCTCCTTTACGAAATCTCCCAGGAATCTTTCCGTATGTCAATCTTGGCTCCACGAATTTGAACTGATCACGAAGACTGTGAAAGACCAGGGGCTTCGGTAAGCCTGTGAATGTTGAGTTTGATTCGAGGAGTACAAACTCTGTAACATAAGGGTACAGTTCATGCCATCTTACAGTAAGGAGGTCCACTTCGTTACTGAACAACACTGCATCAAAAACTCGACGTGGGAACTCGCGAGTTCCCCAACCGTGAAGCCTGCAAAGATTCTCCATCGATACGTTTTCGTGATAGTAATGTGGGATTTCGTGGAAAGGTTTCGGTGGCGATTCCCATAACGGGCGTAAGAAGTAGGAGATTTTCTGGCCATGAACATATAAACCAAGGATCACAGTTGGGACCAACACGAACAGAAAGATGAGTGTTTTCAATTCGAGCCCACGGAGAATGCAACGTACTCTCGACATTGTTGAAGATCTTCCTGAATCCTGCAAATCAAAGGTGCATTTTCGTTAAGATTTCATGCAATAATGATTGGTGTAAATATGTTGTAAGAGCATCTTCAACAAATATGCTATATCTTCTTCTCTGTTCTTCATCCAAATTGGGAGATTTCTCGGATCTCTCCTATTTTTTTTGTATTTTAGAGAAGAGTTTGGCATAGCTGATGAAGAAACTGTTTCCAAATTTCTAAAATAGCGTGTTTAGAGATGCTATAAAGCATCTCAAGAACATGAGCATGGATCAATTGAAGCTTGCAGGCTCCAATCATTTGCTGATTTTTGATTCTTCAATAAAAGTGGAGACAAATACACTACAGATACAGAAAGAACCCTAGTTTTGACCAAATTAGGGAGGCACTAAGTAGGAATTAGATGCATATAGCCAAACATTTTGATAAATCCAGAAATCCATCAAAAACTAGAACAATTCGAGGTTCGACCAAACATTAAAACGAAGAAGAAAAAAAAAATTCCAATCTCACACAACAAAAGGGGGAAAATACGAATTCGTAATCGAACTTCTTCACTTTTGAATGCGTAATCACCAGAAACAGTAAAATAAAACCTCAACACTAAATGACGTGATCAAATCACGAAAATGGAAAATGCGAATCTATGAAATCGATTAAATTACCTCATCGCAAACGTCACCGCAGATATCATCAGACTTTTTAGAACAATAACGAGATCCACCTTCTGCCATCAAATAAACTCTATCGAGAAATTTCGATAAGTTAATCATCGCCATTGGAATTCCAAACAAAGCAAAACAGATATACAGATAGATGAATCGACGAAGAATGAAACTGTGAATTTGAAATCAAGAGAGAAATTGAGAAAGAAACAAAGCGCATAGGGGATATGGAATAGCGCTGGGTGGGTGTTGATGAACACAGAGGCAGTCGTCTCTCTGGTTTTAATGGATGGCAGTTGTTGATACACACTCTACAAGGAAGCCGTTTCTCTTGTCTTCTACCCCACCCTCTCTCTCTCTCTCCCTCTCTCCTCTTTTCCTTTATATGTACAATATATACATACATTATTTTGTATCTATATATTTGGTTCTTCTAAAGGAACTGTTTCGTGATTTGCCCAAATTGCCCTTGCAATTGATTGTTAATTTCTTTTTTTATAATCTAGAGTAAACTACAAATTTGGTTACTATGATTTATCCAAAATAGTAAATTTTGTCCTTTTGGTTTTGAAATTATAAGATGGTTGATGGTCTGTAAAACGTCTGAATTTGATTTCTTTCTTTAATGATTGTTAAAAAAAATCAGTTGAATGAGGGTATTTTTGTTATTTTATCTATTTTTTTTGTTCTTTAGTCCATTTTATGATTTTGGTCCATGTGGCTTTGATTGGGTAAAAGACAAAAAATGATAAAAGAACGAAAATGTCCCTTGTTTAACGGAATTTTTTTAGAGAAATGGACTAAATATGGATGTTTTTGTAAACAACGATGATCATCTTGTAATTTTAAAACTACAGAAATGAAAAATATTAACTTCGACAAACCATAAGGACCAAATTTGTATTTACTCTATAATCGATAACCATAACAAAAAGAAAAAGATTGAAGTCAAGCTTAGGGGATGTTTATCAAATGCTTAATCGGTAAGCGTTCACCGGCAAAATTCAACACTATTACTTATTTATCGGGTAAGATTTTAGTCAACAAAAATGGCACTGTATGCAACAATTTACCCAATAAATGTTAACTGTGATAAGAGTTATTGCCCTTACTTACCGGGTAAGACTATTGGTCCTTATCTCGTTCTTACCGAGTAAGATTTTTGGTCCTTATCATATTCATTGGTAAGGTAATGTGACTTGGTAAGCATTTACTCGGGTAAACAGCCTTTTAGTTATGTAATTTTATGTTTATCCCTAAATTAATGTTTTACGAAATCTAAATAATATGGTTGTAGAAAGTTATGTTTTTGGCAAGCTAACTGATACGTTATTTGTAATTGAAAAACTAATTGTTGACTTAAAAGCTTTTCAGATAAAATAATCACGTGAGACAAGTCTATTTTCATGAGACCGTTTTTTACACTTGAAACTTCATAATAAAAAATTGTGAAGGTAAGATTCAGATTTTTTTTACCTTCATAGTATTTTTCTGTAAAGTTTCAAGTGTAAAAAAATGGTCTCATGTAAACTCGATCCTAAATATAATCTCATTTTACAGTGTAATTAAAAATTTTACGTGTAATAAGGACTTTGAAAACATTGATAAGTAAATATAAACAATTTTTGGGGAAAATGGGTGAGGGGTAGTTTGGTCAAAGTGAAAAAGGGTTACGCTACGGCTACGGCAACGCGTCGTTTTGAATTTTGAGAATGAGTCGGCACCTGGCGTGTTTTCGGTCCAATAAGGCCCACATCACAATCCATAGTCCATACAACCACGGTCCCCTACGCAACGGAACCTTCTACTTTTACACATTTGACCTCCAAGTTCTTAAATGTTACATTCACACCCCCTTAACAAACACATTTTGCATTCATTTATGAATAACAATTTTTTGGACCTAATTCTATAAAATCTACATATATATTAAAGAAAAAACCAAATAGAATGACTTGTTGTTATGAGATTTGAGTATTTTTTAAATTTTAAAATGTGATTAAATTTGTTTGTCACTCATTAGTGTGAAGAAGGAATGAAATGTGTGTATATATATATATATATATATATATATATATATATATATAAGAAAAAATAATAACTTGGCATTATGAAATTTGAGTATTCCTCAAATATTGAAATATGGTTAAATTTGTTTATCCCACATTGGTGGGAAGAAAGAAAGTAGAAGGAACGAAATGTGTATGTCAGTATGTGTGTGTGTGTATTAACTGAATATGTGAATTTTTTTTTGTTGCAAGTCATTATGCTCTTTCATTTGCTGTTGTTATCATGAGATTTGAGTATTACTTAAATCTTGAAATATGGTTAAGTTTGTTTATCCCATATAAAAAGATAGTTTTAAAAATTGAGATGACATATTAAGAGTGATGTATTTTAAAAATCTTGCGTTGTGGTTGATTTTTGGAAATCCCACATTGATGAACAAATAATACATTGATAGAGTATGATAAGTATATACAAAAATAAGCATGTGATTCTTCCGAAAATTAAAAGAGCACTATGAGATTCAAGAATCCCTCTAAACCACAGCATTGATGTTGCACCCAATTAATTGATTAATCTTTATTCTTTAATTTGTGGTTGAATTTATTTATCTCATATTGATAGACAGATGGAAGATTAATGTATATGACAAGAAGTTGATATGCCTTTGTGGTAACTCAGTGCTTGACTCTCTTTAACTGATTCTCTAAACGAAATATATTAATTATTCTACTTTACATTTTTTTTTATTAACCTAGATATCCAACCGCTATGCGAGCCGACTAATTCCAAGGCGACCACGTGCTTTATAGATAGCCCGGAGTCACCGCATTTGAACCTTCGTGGCCACAGGGGGGTTTTTATTCCTCCTTGGATTTGAACATGTGACCTCCTGGTACTTTTGACCTTTGGAGCCAAGCTCAAACCAATCAGACACCACCCGTGTGTTTTATTATACTTTACATTTTCATTACAATTAAATTAGCGGATACGTTTCATCTTGATTTTGTTACATGATTTTTAAAGAAATAGAATTTGTTATCGCGCAACGCATGATGCCAAACACTCATAATTTATAAAATTCACAATTTGTGTGATATATATGGTTGCAAAAACATTATTAAAAGCTATAGTTTTTATACAAAACATAGTTCAAATATTATCATTGAAGATACAATTATTATTTTATTATATTATAATTGAAAACTATTGTTATATTTATCACAAAACGAGAATAAATCCAGTTTTTTATGAGATGTTTGTTTACCTCTTAATAGTTTCATTAAGAGACAGTCTCTTGATCGCTAAGAGATGAGGGGTTGTTTGACAGTTGTTGAATGGTTTGGTACAAAATGATTAAGAGACTCTCATGATATAGTGCAAAATGAAATGTAATTGTTTGATAATTGTTTATAATGAAATTATGACGCTGAATGGTTAAGGGAGGCACATGATACAAAATCATTCAGAGGGTTTTAGAACCATTAAGAGGCAAACTTTTTTTGTCGAACAAAATTCACCTCTTAACGATTCAGATATTGCCTCTTAATGAAACTATTAAGAGGTAAACAAACAAACCTTGAATCTTGTTTTGCAAAAAAAAAAAAGTTTGTCTCTTAATGGTTTTAAAACCCTTTGAATGATTTTGTATCATGGACCTCCCTCTAACGCCCTAATTTCATTATAAACAATTACCAAACAATTATATTTCATTTTGCACTATATCATGATAGTCTCTTAATCATTCTGACCACTTAATCATTTTACATCAAACCACAACCTCTAACATATACTCTATGAATATTTATAATTATCCAAACTTCAATTATGTTACAAATTAGTGAACATGAAAAGGTGTATAAACATATGTTTAGAAACTAAAAATAACAAGTAATGATTAGTGTAAAAAAACCATTTTATTTTAAGATGAAGTGTTTATTAGATCTAGTAAAAAATATGCTTTTGAACTATGATTCTTTTAATAACATATAACTACTGGATTTTATATATACCTAATAAAAGAATTGAACAACAAGGGTGATGTCTGATTAGTTTGAGCTTGGGCTCCAAATATCAAAAGTGTTTGGAGATTACAGGTTCGAACCCAAGGAGAAATAAAAATTCTCTTGTGATCATGAAACCTTTAATGGAAAACTGTAAGTTTTTTGGGTGAAATCATGAGCATTAAAATTTTGTGAATATCGATCTGACTTTTCAGGGTTAGCTGTTTAGATTTGAAACTAGCTCTTCAAGATTAATTTGTATTTTAGTAATCAGGGTTGGGTTCACATGAGACAAGTCTGTTTTCGTGAGACAAGTTTTTTACACTTGAATGCCCAGGTATCCACCGTAAATCTTTCCTCATTTGAACCTCGCCCTTAATTTTAAGGCTATGACATCTTGAAGGTGCTGCTAAATGGATGAATCTTATCAACGTCCATGGATGATAAATTATAGATCGAACCGCCCAATCGGAAAAATTGGGTGATAACATATAGCTTTGTATCGGCTAAGTTCACGAGTTAGAGATAAGCGAACTCAAACCGCTGACATCCGCCGCAGGGTAAACCACCGTCTCCAGGTCCCCGGACTGATTCTATCATAGAAGCCAACGATAAACAATAACTTCCCCCCCAGACTGATTCAAGTATAAAAAAATGGTTTTACAGATCTTACAAAAACGTCTGGTCTCATATTATTGAACCAACTATAATTCGATAAATTATTTTTAAAATAAATACCTAAAAAAATATTTATTTAAAATTGCAAATTATCCTGTAATTAATGAGAAAATTGAAAGAATCAAAGTCTACGGGCATAATCCACATGGCCAAATCATTGTCAATTTATGTGGTAGTTCAATCATTCTTCCACTTTTAATGTATTTGTTTTTCTAAAAAAATAATTTAAAAAAATTATATTTTTTTTATGAAACAAGATTCAGCTCTTAACGATTTAGATGTTGTCTCTTAATGAAATTATTAATAGGTAAAAAAACAACCCATAAAACAGACATCTTTACCAAAATTGATTCATCGTTAAAATTTAATGGATTTATATTTTTTTGCAAATTAAAATTAAATACCGTTTAATTTGAAGAAATCTTAAAAGTAAAATAACAGTGTGATAAAGTAATATCAGTTGTATCAGTTCAATTATAGGATATAATATCACGACTTTCTAAAAAGTAAGGATTTTTGTGTCAATTTCAAAAGAGTAGACTCATAGCTTTAATATTTGAACTTTTCCAATACGTTATAAAATCAGTCTGGAAAAAAAGTACAAATATTTTCAAAAGGTGAACAGTTTTCACGGAAGAAATGGGAATATTTTTCTTAAAGGGAAT